GGCCATGATACCACTTCCTCATCCTGGTCAAACTCTGAAAGCTTCAACCCTACAGGAAGAGGAATTTCCTTCCCGTACTCCACCCTGGACTCCATCCCCAACTCTTTAGCGTACGTCTGCTGCGAGATATTCAAAGTCCCTGCATCCCAATCCCTCTCATAAAAACATCCAGAGTACCACCTCACGTCACCGAGATTCTTCACCCGTATCATGGTGTTGAGGTCCCTATCAATTGATCACACCTCTCCTCCTCTCCAATCGAAATATGTCATCCACATGTACTACCAGAGTCACTACCACTCTTCCCTCCTCGATCAACCGAAACACACACGTATCCGCCGCTGAATAAAACCCAAACAAATCAAACACCTCGCCAAATGTGAATGTCATTGCCTTGATGCTTGTTCAAGGCCATACAGGCTCTTGTTCAACTTCACTATCATGCCTGACAATCTACCACATCCCTCTGGCAGACGCATGAAAACATCCTCATCCAAATCCGACTGGACAAATGCTTGCTTGCTGTCAAAATGACGAAGAGAAATTTTTTGCTCACATGCCATCGCTGCCAACAAGCGAACGCTAGAAACCGCTGCGTGCGGTCGGTGCATACGTCTCTCCACAATCTACATGTACTCGCTGCATATCTCCTCTCGCTACTAGCCGTGATTTCACACTAGTCGGCCATCCATACTCATCAGACTTCCAGTTAAACACCCACTTGGCCTTGATGACACTCTCTGGGTGCTACATTTTACTTCCTCAAAGGTACCAGCCTCCATCAGACCTCTGAACTCCCTCTCTNGTGCGGTCGGTGCATACGTCTCTCCACAATCTACATGTACTCGCTGCATATCTCCTCTCGCTACTAGCCGTGATTTCACACTAGTCGGCCATCCATACTCATCAGACTTCCAGTTAAACACCCACTTGGCCTTGATGACACTCTCTGGGTGCTACATTTTACTTCCTCAAAGGTACCAGCCTCCATCAGACCTCTGAACTCCCTCTCTACAGAGTCTACCCACAAGTCAGCATGCTCAGAGGACGCAGCCGCCCGATAAGTGTTGGGCACGCGCAAGTCGTTGGCATAGCAATGTGGCAAGTCCGGTGCCACTTCCGAGGGATCTAAATCCCTCATCGTGCGATCAATGTCCTCGCGGGAGGCAAGCAAGGTGGNCTCAGAGGACGCAGCCGCCCGATAAGTGTTGGGCACGCGCAAGTCGTTGGCATAGCAATGTGGCAAGTCCGGTGCCACTTCCGAGGGATCTAAATCCCTCATCGTGCGATCAATGTCCTCGCGGGAGGCAAGCAAGGTGGCGCACGCAAATGGGATTTCTTCACGCAGTCCTGTTTTTGTGCCCCCCCGCTCTCGCCAATCTAGACTTCAGTGGGTTGGCGCTGTTGGCAAAGCGCTGTAAAACACGCCACCCCAAATATAGCCCCCATAGTATGCGCTACCAAAGACGCGTGACGCATGGATGCGTGGAGTGAGGATTGCTTACGGAAACCTCACAGGTTGAGTGATGTAGGAGATTGCCGGACACATAGACGTGTTGAGTGATTATAGCTGTATACTGAAACCCCACGGAAAGGGGAGGTTTNNNAGACGGGTTGCGTGGGGATAGCTGCTGGAACCCCACGGGTTGAGTGATGTTGGAGTGCCGGACACATCGACGCGTTGAATGAGGATAGACACATATGGAACCTCACAGGTTATTTGTCTTGGAGATTGCGAGACACCTAGACGTGTTGAGTGAGG